TGGTCTCTGTTGGTCTCTGGGGGTCTCTGATGTTCTCTCGTGGTCCCTGGGGGTCTCTGGGGGTCTCTTTGGGTCTCTGGGGTCTCTGCTGGTCTCTCATGGTCCCTGGAGGTCTCTGGGGATCTCTGGGATCTCTGGGGGTCTCTGATGGTCTCTGGGGGTCTCGGGGGTCTCTTGGTCTCTGGGGGTATCTGGGGGTCTCTGGCACTGCAGGTCCAGCAGCTCCCAGGGCTGGGCCAAGGCCATGGAATTCCCTACAGGAATGTCCTTGGCTCTGAGCTGCTCCCAGCTGGCAGAGGGACGGGGGGAAGGAGCAGCCTGACCAGTTTTTTGGGGGGTTTGGCTCTATTTGAACCCCCCTCTCCTGTGGCTGGAGCAAAACAGGAGTGGGGAAACACCCACCAGGGACCCCAAACACCCTGCAAACCCCCTGGGGGGTGGGACAGCCCTGGGGACAGCCCTGTCCCCTGGGAGCTCCCCTGGGAAGGGGTTGGAGGAGACAGGGGGGACTCAGTGACCCTGGGGGGCTTTTCCAACCTCAGGGATCCCGGGACAGGGGACAAGGAGTCACTGCCAGGGCTGCAGGGTGAGGTGGCCTGAGGGGCTCTGGGGACCCCCCCTCCTCCTCCCCAGCCGGGACCTCCTGGAGGAGCCCCCGGGACTCCTCATGGAATCCTGGAATGTGTTGGGCTGGAAGGGACCTCAAAGCCCATCCAGTCCCATCCAGGGCAGGGACACCTCCCACTGTCCCAGGTGGCTCCAAGTTCATCCAGCCTGGCCTTGGACACTCCCAGGGATGGGGCATCCCCTGGGAATTCCAGCCCAGCCCCTCCCCACCCTCCCAGCCAGCAATTCCTTCCCCATCTCCCATCTCTCCCTCCCTCTGGCAGTGGGAAGCCATTCCCTGTGTCCTGTCCCTCCAGGCCTTGTCCCCTCTCCAGCTCTCCTGGAGCCCCTTCAGGCCCTGGCAGGGGCTCCAAGGTGTCCCTGGAGCCTTCCCTTCTCCAGGGGAACATTCCCAGCTCTCCCAGCCCGGCTCCAGAGCAGAGGGGCTTCAGTCACTGGAGCATCTCTTTTCCCTTCTCTTTTCCCTTCTCTTTTCCCTTCTCTTTTCCCTTCTTTTCCCTTCCCTTCCCTTCCCAAACCTTCCCTTCCCTTCCCTTCCCTTCCCAAACCTTCCCTTCCCAAACCTTCCCAAACCTTCCCAAACCTTCCCTTCCCAAACCTTCCCAAACCTTCCCAAACCTTCCTTCCCAAACCTTCCTTCCCAAACCTTCCCAAACCTTCCAAACCTTCCCAAACCTTCCCAAACCTTCCCTTCCCAAACCTTCCCAAACCTTCCCAAACCTTCCCTTCCCAAACCTTCCCTTCCCAAAACTTCCCAAACCTTCCCAAACCTTCCCAAACCTTCCCTTCCCAAACCTTCCCAAACCTTCCCTTCCCAAACCTTCCCTTCCCAAACCTTCCCAAACCTTCCCTTCCCTTCCCAAACCTTCCCTTCCCAAACCTTCCCTTCCCAAACCTTCCCTTCCCAAACCTTCCCTCCCCACCCCAAAATCAGCCGTGGGACCCTCAGGGCAGACCCGAGACTCCCCATCCCCTCCCCCCCCGCTCCAGCCTCTCCATCCCCATTCCCGGCTCCAGCCCCATCCCGCTCCTTTTCCCGGCCCCGCTCGGATTCCAGGCGAGCAGTTCCCGACTCTCCTTTGCCTTTTAAGGCAACATCGGCGAGATTTTGAGGCTTTGAGGCTTTGAGGGTTGCGGAGTCTCCGCCGCGCTCGGACCGGGACCGGGACCGGGACCAGGGGGCGTTCGGGTTCCTTTGGGTTCATCTGGGTCCGTTTGGGTTCATTTGGGTTCATCCAAACCCTGGGGATTCACCAGCGCCAGCCCAGCTTGTTTTCCTTGGGCTTTTATTTTTAAAGGTCTGACAGGCTGGGTAAACAAAATCCTGCCCGAGAACCGTGCCCGTGGGCGCGGGGACGGCGCGGACAGCGGGGCTGGGTCCAGGGACCGCGGGAAACATTCCCGGTGGGAGCAGGCAGGGATGGCCGCGGGGGTGACAACCGGAGGGGACCGCGGACCCCGCGAGTGTCCCCGGGCAGCTCCGGGGGTTTGAGCCTTGCCTTTGGAAGCTCAGGAGCTGCTTCCCTGCCCGGATCCCTCCCGATCCCTCCCTTCCCTCCCGCTCCCGGGGCGGCTCTGGAGCAGCTCCGACTCCTTCCACCCCCCCGGGAGCATCCAGGGATTCCTGCGAGCCCCTGCAGCTCTTCCGTGGGATCATCCCAGGTTCGCTGGACAGAAGGGAGGCCACAAACACCCCCGGGGTGGCCCCAACACCGTGGCCAGTCCCTGCACACCCCGGGCAGTCCCTGCACACCCCGGGCAGTCCCTGCACACCCAGGGCAGTCTCTCGTCCCCACACCTGGGGCACAGCTGGATCCTGTTCCCTTGACTCCTTTTCCCTAGGTCCTTCTCCCTGGATCCTGTTCCCTTGGTTCCTTTTCCCTGGATGCTTTTCCCCTGGATCCTTTCCCTTGGTTCTTCTTCCCTGGTTCCTTTTCCCTTGGCCCCTTTTCCCTTGACTCCTTTTCCCCCTGACTCCTTTTCCCTGGATCCTTTTCCCATGGTTCCTTTTCCCTGGATCCTTTTCCTTGGATCCTTTTCCCTGACTCCTTTTCCCTGGTTCTTTTTCCCTTGGCCCCTTTTCCCTTGGTTCCTTTTTCCCCTGACTCCTTTTCCCTGGATCGTTTTCCCTTGACTCCTTTCCCACACCTCCTGGACTAACAATGGGATAACAAAACATTCCCAGCAGCTTTCCCAAGCAGGGGTTTTTGCTCTGCTTCTCCTTTCCCCTTGGTTTCATCTCCTTTGGAAAAATCCCTCACATTTTCCAGGCCTGGGAGAAGCTGCAGCTCCTTCCTCTGGGATCTGCCCCTTCCCAACCAATGCCTTGTTGGGCCTTGGATGTGCTGGGGGGGGGGGCTGGGGGGGCTGAGAAGGAGGAGGATTTTTGGAGTGGACACCCCTGGGACCCCCATCCCTGTCCCTGCAGCCCCCAGGACATCTGTGGGAGCTCCTACAGCCCCCTGGACACCTCTGGGACTCCCATCCCTGCTCCTGCAGCTCCCAGGACACCCCATGGAGATCCTGCAGCCCCCAGAACACCCCTGGGACCCCCATCCCTGCTCCTACAGCCCCCAGGACACCCCTGGGAGCTCCTACAGAACCCAGGACATCTCTGGGACCCCCATCCCTGTCCCTGCAGCCTCCAGGACATCTCTGGGACCCCCATCCCTGTCCCTGCAGCCCCCAGGACACCCCTGGGTGCCCCATCCCTGTCCCTGGGGCTGGGCTGGGGGGGTCTGGCCGTTCCCTCCGGTGCCTGTTCCGTCCCTGCCGGGGAGCCAAGAAATCCCTTAACTAAACAACCCTGTCCCCAATGGCAGCTGTTTATGCAGCAGGGACAAACAGTGCCCAGCCTGGGCTCTCCACAAAAACCAGGCCCTGGGGGCCTCCAGAGCCCTGTTTTGGGAAGGCAGAGCTGCCCCAGCAGGGACCCCACGGAGCCCTGGGATGGGGGAGGAGGAGGAGGAGGAGGAGGAGGAGGAGGAGGAGGAGGGGGAGGCCATTCCAGCTGAACACTGCGGGGTTTGTACATGGATTTGGGGGTTCCAGGCCTGGATGAAGCCCCAGCACAGGCAGAGATCAGCTGCCTCTTCCACAGGCACCTCCTGTGCTCCCTTCCCGGGAATTCCAGGGAATCCAAGATCCCCCAGCAAGGGGGATGAGGGGGCCTGTGTGTGCCCGGGGTGGGGAGCGGGGAAAGGGGGTTAAAGTGCCCTTTAACATCTGGGGTGGAATTTAGGGTGGGATCCTGCTCTGTGCAGCAGATCTGACCCCGGGGATGTCAGGGGCTCATCCACCCTCAGGGATCTGTTGGGAGCATTGGCTCCTCTCCGTGGGGGGATCTCATGGAATTCCAGACTGGTTTGGGTTGGAGGGACCTTAAATCCCATCCCATCCCACCCCTGCCCTGGGCAGGGACACCTCCCACCATCCCAGGCTGCTCCAACCTGGCCTTGGACACTCCAAGGATGGGGCATCCCCTGGGAATTCCAGCCCAGCCCCTCCTCACCCTCACAGGCAGCAATTCCCTCCCAATCTCCCATCTCTCCCTCCCTCTGGCACTGGGAAGCCATTCCCTGTGTCCTGTCCCTCCAGGCCTTATCCCAAATCCCTTTCCAGCTCTCCTGGAGCCCCTCCAGGCCCTGGAAGGGACTCCAAGGTGTCCCAGAGCTGCTGGTGCTGGTTGTGTCCTGCAGCAACACCCAGGACAGGCTGTACCAGGGATCAGGGGCTTGGAAAAATCCCCAGGAATTCCCTGTGCCCTTCTCCCAGCCCCTCCCAGCTCAGCCCTTCCCTCCTGCTCTGCCCATGGACACAGGAGCAGGCTGTGCTGGGACAACTCCAGGCATGACAAGCAAGAAATTCCAGGTCCCCATTCCCTTGGTTCTCTGCTCCGAGCTCCAAGCTGATGCCAGCAGGGTTTGGAGAGCCCAGGGCTGGGGACAGCAGTGTCACCGTGGCCCTGGCTGTGGCTGCTGCCCTGTCTGCACACGTGGCCAGGATGGTGTGGGGAGTGTTGGGCTCCAAACTGGGCAAACCCACGGAGAATCCGGCTGGAAACAGCCTGGGAAAGGTGGGAAAGCACCTGGGGCTGCCAGGGGGAGATGGGCATTGGATTGGGAATGGGATTCAAACGAGGAGAACTCGAGGGAGGAGGGACAGGAGGGTCCCCTGGGGATGCAGGATGGGGGCTCTGCAGCCCTTTGGGAAGGGGTGGGGGCAGCAGGGATGGCCTGGAGAGCTCTGAGGAACCCTCCCTGGAGCCATGGCTGGGCAAACATTCCAATTCCAAAGGCTCCAGAGGGGCTGGGATGGTGGGACAGGGCTGGGAAACCACCATCTGTAACTCCCAGGTGTTCTTGCCTCCTCAGGAAACCAGGCTGAGCGAGAGCAAAGGAGACAAAACTGGAGAGGAAACGGGAAAGGAAACTCCCCCCAAAGACCCGGCCCGGAAAAGAGACACCAAAGACCCCAAAAAGGAGGAAAATGTTCCGAAAACAGAGCCCAAAGGCAAAGCTGAGGCTGAGCCCAAGAGCAAAGAGAGCAAAGCCATGAACGATAAAGTGAAGGCCATGGAGAAAAAGCTGATGGGGAAGGACAAGAAGGAGGAAGAGAAGAGCTCAGCGCTGAGGAAGGAGGCAGGGAAGGAGAAAAGGGAGGAGGAGAAGGGCTCAGATGTGAAGAATAAGGACACAGGGAAGGAGAAAAAGGAGGAGGAGAAGAGCTCAGCAGCAAAGGAGGCAGGGAAGGACAAGAAGGAGGAAGAAAAGGTTTCAGCCTCCAAGAAGGACACGGGGAAGGACAAAAAGGAGGAGCAGAAGAGCTCAGGACCAAAGGGACAGGCAGGGAAAGACACGGGAGGGGAAGGGGAGAAAGACAAAGACAAAAAAGGAGAGAAGGGTTCAGCTGGGAAAACACCCAGGGGGGAGGAGAAGGAGAAGGAGAAGGAGAAGGAGAAGGAGAAGGAGAAGGAGAAGGAGAAGGAGAAGGAGAAGGAGAAGGAGAAGGAGAAGGAGAAGGAGAAGGAGAAGGAGAAGGAGAAGGAGAAGGAGAAGGAGAAGGAGAAGGAGAAGGAGAAGGAGAAGGAGAAGGAGAAGGAGAAGGAGAAGGAGAAGGAGAAGGCGGGACCCCCCAAGGCTGCAGAACCACCCAAGGACGACGAGGCCTCGAGCATCTTCGACGAGCTGATCGAGAAGGTGAAGAACAACGACGCCGAGGTGACCGAGGTGAACGTCAACAACTCGGACTGCATCAACAACGAGACCCTGGTGCGCTTCACCGAGGCCCTGGAGTTCAACACCGTGGTCAAGGTGTTCGCCCTGGCCAACACCCGCGCCGACGACCACGTGGCCTTCGCCATCTCCATCATGCTCAAGTCCAACAAGGCGCTGACCAGCATCAACCTGGACTCCAACCACATCACGGGCAAGGGCATCCTGGCCATCTTCCGCGCGCTGCTGCAGAACGACACGCTGACCGAGCTGCGCTTCCACAACCAGCGCCACATCTGCGGCGGCAAGACCGAGATGGAGATCGCCAAGCTGCTCAAGGAGAACACCACCCTGCTCAAGCTGGGCTACCACTTCGAGCTGGCCGGGCCGCGCATGACGGTCACCAACCTGCTGAGCCGCAACATGGACCGGCAGCGCCAGCGGCGCCTGCAGCAGCAGCGGCTGGCGCAGGAGGTGGGCGACAAGAAGGACCCTCAGCAGGCGCCCAAGGCGGGGGCGCCGCCCAAGGGGGCCCCCCCCAAGGCGTCCCCGCAGCGGCCACAGGCCAAGGCGCCCCCCAAAAGCTCCCCCGAGAAAGGGGGGGGCCCCGCGGCGCCGCCCCCGCCGCCCCCGCCACTGGCACCGCCCCTGGCAATCAACGAGGGCCTGAGGAACTCGCTGTCCCCCGCCAGCCAGAGGAAGCTGCCGGTGCAGGAGAAGAACTCGCGGGACCAGCTGCTGGCGGCCATCCGATCCAGCAACCTCAAACAGCTCAGGAAGGCAAGTGGGGCACGGCGGGGCCGGCTTGGGGGATGGGGGGCCTGGGTGTGGTCACTCGGGCGGTGCGGGGGGAGGGGAGGGTTGTGCTCCACGGGGGGGTGGCTGTGGGCCCGAGTGGACACGGACACGGGGGGTCCACCCACTGGGCAGGGGGTCCATCCATTGCCGAGGGCATGGGGGGCTAAAGGGGTCCTTTAGCATCCCCGGTGGGGCAGGTGGGGTCAGCAGATCCAGGTGGGATCAGCAGATCTATCCCTCGTGGAGCAGATGTGATCAGCAGATCCATCCCTTGTAGGGCAGTGGGATCGGCAGATCCAGGTGGGATCAGCAGATCCATCCCTTGGCAGAGCTCCTGGCGTGCGCAGATCCAGGAGGATCCAGGGTTGGGACAGCAGGAAGGATCCATCCCTCGCTCCTGCTGCCCCGGCTCAGCCACAGCTGGGGGTGGGAGGTGGCCCAGGGGGGTGGGAGAAGCTGCATCCCCCAGCCCTGGAACCCCCCTCATTCCAGGTGTTGTATCCCTGTCCTGGGGCTGGAGCGTGGGGACAACCAGCCTGGCCAAGGGAAAGAGGCCCCAGAATCCCAGGATGGTTTGGATGGGAAGGGACCTCACAGACCCTCCAGTTCCAATCCCAACACCTCCCACTATCCCAAATGGCTCCCACCTGGCCTTGGACGCTCCCAGGGCTGCGGTAGCCACAGCTTCTCTGGGAATTCCAGCCCAGCCCCTCCCCATCCTCACAGCCAGGAATTCCTCCCCAATATCCCATCTGACCCTCTGGCAGTGGGAAGCCATTCCCTGGGTCCTGTCCCTCCAGCCCTCTCCAGCCCTTTTAGGAACAGCTCCCTGTGCCAGCTGCTCCAAGGGCAAACCCCTCTGCTCCAGGTTTCCTGGAATCCTGGAATGGGTTGGGTTGGAAGGGACCTCAAAGCCCATCCCGTCCCAACCCCAACACCTCCCCCTCTCCCAGCTCGCTCCAAGTTTATCCCAGGGATGGGGCATCCTTTGGGAAATCCATCCAGGGAAAAATTCCCCCCCCACCCCAGCATTCCCAGCATTCCCAGTAACGGGGTGTCCTCCCTGCAGGTGGAGCTGCCGAAGCTGCTGCAATAGGGGCTGGGGGGGTGTCCCCCCACGGCCCCCGTGGACCCTCCCCGTCGTCGCTGGCCCGGAGAGCCCCGGGGGTCCCGCGGGGACGGCGGGACGAGCGGGGACCCCCGGGCAGGCGGGGCCGGGCCGGGCCCGGCGGGACTCGCCGCGGGACCGTCTATTTATTGTTGGGGACGCTCGGGGAGCCCCTCCGGCTCCTTCTCCTGCCCGGCAGCCCCCGGGGGTGCCACGGGCGGGGCTGACCCCGAGGGAACACCCCCCTGAGGGTGGGGGGGACCCCCCAGCCTTTTGGGGGCACAGGGGACACCCAGGGCGTTGTCGCGGCCCTGAGAGGTCTCCGGGGGAATTTTTGGGGTCTGAGGGGAATGGGGGGGGTCACAGGAGGGAACATCCAGGGGAGGGGGTGGGACAACGGGGGGGGCAGGGATGGGAATGGGGGGTCGGGGCATCACTCGCAGCCCCAACCCCGCCTGGGGACCCCCGGAGACCCCCCCAGGAACCCAACACACCCCGAGGGGAGCAGGGAAAGCACCGGCTCCGGGGGGGCTGGAGGGTTTTGGGGTCACACAGTACCCACCTCACCCCCCCACTGATCGTTATTTGTATTGATTTGTATGGATTTGTATGGATTTGTATAGATTTGTGTGGATTTGTTCAGCTGCATCACAATAAATTCACCCAACGCTTCCCAAGCCTCCCATGGCCCCGGGACCCCCCTGGATTTGGGGCTCTGGGAATGGGATCAGCCCCCTCCCCCAACTGGGGCAGCTCTTCCCTCTCCCAGCAGGCACAGCCCTCCCTGGACTGGGCACCCTGGGGCCACCCAGACCCCCCAAACTGGGCACCCTGGGAGCGCTAAAACCCCCCAACCTGGGTCATCCACCCACCCGGAACTCCCCCCAAAATGGGGCACCCAGGACCCCCCAAACTGGGCACAGACAACTGGGCACCCCAAAACCCTGGGGTCACCCAGAGCAGGCTGCCTCAGAGTCACCCCAAAACTCCAGTGCCACCCCAGAACTGGGCACCCGCAGGTCACCCCAAACTCTGGGGTCACCCCAAACTCCAGGGTCACCCCAAAACCCCGGGGTCACCCCAAAACCCCGGGGTTACCCCAAAACCCCAGGGTCACCCCCAGCCTCACCGAGGGGCCCCCACTGGACCCCCCATGCCAGGACAGGTTGGGGGCATCACCTGAACACCCCAAAACATGGGAGTGTCACCTGAATACACCAAGAATGTCACCGGAACACACCAAGAGTGTCACCTGAACACACTGGGAATGTCACCTGGAACACACCAGAGTGTCACCTGAACACACCAAGAGTGTCGCCTGAACACATCGTGGGTGTCACCTGAACACACCGTGGGTGTCACCAGAACACACCGGGAGCTCCGTCAATGAACTGAGAGGGGGGGTCGGGGGGGGTCCCTGCCGGTGCAGTGCGCGGCGGGGCCGCCAGGGGGCGCTGTGACAGACACACCGGGGCCGCCAGGGGGCGCTGTGTCACTCACCGGGGCCGCCAGGGGGCGCTGTGACAGACACACCGGGGCCGCCAGGGGGCGCTGTGACACACACCGGGGCCGCCAGGGGGCGCTGTGACACACACGGGGACCGCCAGGGGGCGCTGCGTCACTCACCGGGGCCGCCAGGGGGCGCTGTAACAGACACACCGGGGCCGCCAGGGGGCGCTGTCCCGGCCCGCCCTGTTCCCCCCGTGCCCCCGGCCCGGCCCCGCTCTCGGGGCTGTCCCGGCTCCGTCCCGGGCCCGTCCCGGGTGTCCCCCCCGCTCCCCGCGCTCGGCCCCGGGGCCCCGGCGCGGGATGGGCGCGGGGAGGCGGCAGGAGGAGCAGAAAGAGCGGGAGGAGCAGGAGGAGGAGGAGGAGGAAGAGGAGGAGGCGGCGGGGGGACGATGGCGGCGGCGGGAGGCGGCGGAGCGGCAGCGGCGCGGCGGGGGCTGCTCAAGCGCAAACCCAACTTCACCCTGCAGGAGCTGGAGGTGCTGATGAGCGAGGTGCTCCGGTACGAGCCGCTGCTGTTCGGCGCCGCCGCCGGCACCGTCAACGCCTACGAGAAGCAGAAGATCTGGTGGCGGATCACGCACAAGGTGAACGCCGCCGGCCGCCACCAGCGCGACATCGGCGAGGTGAAGAACCGCTGGCGGGGGCTCCGGCGCCGCGCCGGGGACAAGATCAGCCGGCACCGGCTGGAGCGGCAGGGCCCGGCCGGCAGGGCCCCCGGCAGGAGCGGCGGGAGCTGCGGGAGTAACGGGAGTAACGGGAGTAACGGGAGCGGCCCCGCAGAGCCCGGCCCCGCACCCGCCCCCACGCCCGCCTGGGACACGCGCGGGGCCGGCCACGAACCCCCCGCACGGACACAGCAGGGACCGGCATCCCACGGTGCGTGCGGGGCACGGGGGGACACGGGGGGGACGGGGCAGGGACCAGGGAGGGGGAAACGGGATGGGGACAGAGGGAACGGAATGGGAACGAGGGGAACGGGAACGGGAAAACGGGATGGGGATGGAAGGAAGGGGATGGGGATGAGAGAACAGGGGAGGGACGGGGGGAATAGGATGGGAATGAGGGGAACGGGATGGGAATGAGAGGAATGGGATGGAGACGGGATTGGGATGGGGCAGGGACATGGGGGAACGGGATGGGGACAAGGGCAACAGGACTGGGACCAGGATGGGGGACACAGGATGGGATGGAGGCAACGGGATGGGGACATAGAGGAATGGGATGGGGACTGAAGGGAATGAAATGGGACCAGGATGAGGACAGGAAGAACAGGATGGGGATGGGACACAGGGGAATGGGATGGGGATGGGGGAATGGAAACGGGACTGGGCTGAGGATGGGGGAATGGGATGGGGATGGAGGGAACAGGGCAGGCACACACAGGAAGGGGATGGGGACCAGGGAATGGGGCAGGGATTTGGAGGTACTGGGGCCGGGATGAAGCAGTGAAGGGACAGGGATGTGGGGGACAAGGACATGGACATGGGAAACCAGGAATGGGATGGGATGGGGAGGAATGGGATGAGGATGAGGGGAGGCTGGGACCAGGATACAGGGGGACTGGGACCAGGATACAGGGGGACTGGGACGAGGATGTGGGGGACCAGGACAGGGACATGGGGGCCAAGGACAGGGATATGGAGACACAGGGCAGGGATATGGGGGGACAGGACAGGGATATGGGGACACAGAACAGGGATGTGGGGACACAGGATGACATGGGTTGCAGGCCTGGGATGGGGTGGAACAGGACAGAGGGGAAGGGGAGCAGGATGTGGGGACCAGGGACAGGGATGTGGGGACCAGGACACAGGGACAGGGACAGGGGAACTGGGACTGGGATGTGTGGGGACCCTAAGGCTGGGCTGAGGGCACTGGGACCAACACAGGGACAGGGGGGCACCAGGACAGGTGTGTGCAGGGACAGGGACCTGGACACGGGGGGGCGTGGGCAGTGTCAGGTGCCCTGGGACGTGGAGAACAGGGCAGGGACAAGGGGACAAGGACGGGGACACGGACCCGGGGGGACAGGGCAGGGACAGGGAGGGACTGGGAGACAGAGCCATGAAGGGACTGGGGGTGGGATGTGGGGAAAAGCAGGAGCGGGAGCAGGACAGGTGCGTGCAGGGACAGGGTGGGGACAGAGGGGACTGTGCCGGGGGCACCAGGACGTGAGAGGGACGAGGGGTCAGTCACTCGTGGGGGGGTCCCACAGCTGCTCCCCCTCCCCCCGCAGGCATCAAGGAGGAGCCGGTGAAGGAGGAGCCGGTGGAGGTGAAGACCGAGCCCGACGGCATTCCCGGTGTTCCCGGCGTTCCCGGTGTTCCCGGCGTTCCCGGCCGCGGCCCCGAGCGCCTCCTGCCCCGCGAGGGCTGGAGCCGGAGCCCCCCGCCCCCCGCGCCCCCCGAAGTGGCGCTGGGCGAGCTGGGGGGGCAGCAGGACCCGCTGGGCTCCGACTTCCCGAGCCTCCTCCTGGAGCCCGAGCCGGAGCCCGGGCGGCTCAGCCGGGACGAGGAGGGTCCCCCCGGGGCGGGGGGGCCGGACGGGACCCCCGAGAGCCCCGAGCTGAGCCTGGCGCGCTCCAACGAGCGGCTGGTGCGGGAGATGCGGGAATTCCGGCGGGAATACGCCGAGAGCCGGCGGGAGAGCACGGCCGTGCTGCGGAGCATCGCCCAGGCGCTGGCAGCGCTCGGCCGCAGCCTCTCCGAAATCCGAGACCTCTACCTCCGGGACAGGGGGAGCCCCAAGCCCTGAACACCCCCCCAACACCCCCACGCCACGCAGCTGGCTGTGTGTGCCCCCCCCGGGCCGGCGGGAACACCCCCAACCCCCCCTTTCCAGCGCCCACCTCGCGGCTTTTATTCTTATTTTTATTATTATTATTATTTTTTCTTGGCCCCTCCATGAATAAAACTCGGAGCTGCCCCCTCCCCCGCCGCCACCGGCTCCCCCCACACAGCCCCGGGAGGTTCGTGGGGTTTTTGGGGGGATTTTGGAGGGTGGAGTTGCACCCCCGGGGGGGCCACCTGGCTTTTCCCTCCACTGGAAGCAAAGGTGATCCCAAATCCCAAATATTCCCTCCCCAGGTCCTGGTGATGGTTTGGGGTGGGGATGAATCCCACCAGGAGCAACCATTGGGGTGACCCCCCTGCCCCCCCAGGGGACCTGATCAGGAGAGGGGGGGGATGGGGGAACTGTCCCCCTCCTCCCAGGCAGGATTGGCTGTTTTCTCACCCAAAATGTGCCCGGGCGTGGTTTCGTGCCCTAATTTTGGGGGGGGACGGGGGGGGGCAACGCTCCCAGGGCGATTTGGTGGGAATTGCCCATCCCAAGCACATCCCGAGGTGCTGAAGCCCCGGGAGCAGAAGGGATTTATGGATTTGTGTCCCCCCCCAACTCTGACATTCCCGGGGTGGGACTGGGGGGGTTCTGGCCCCCCTCCCCCCATTCCGGAGCCACCGAACCGACACAGCGTGGGCACAAGAAGTGGTTTAATGCCGACCCCGGGGGGGGGCGAAGACCCCCGGGGGTGTGGGGGGGTATCCAGAGACGGTCGTGCAGGGGGGGCAGCAGCGCGCGGCCCTCGGGGGGCCCCCTGCGCGTGGCCGGGCCCGTTGGCACCCAGAGGCGGGGGGGGTGTCCCCCACAAAGGGCCCAGTGTGCGGGACAAGGGCCGCCCTGTGCTGCTGCCACCGCAACCCCCCCGCGCCGGGACACCCCCCCAGCGCCTCGGGGGGGGCACGGGGGTCCCCAGCCCGGCCCCGCTGGCAGGCGGCGGGTGCGGGGGTGCCCGGGGGCCCAGGCTCCGGGATAGTTGGGCTATGCCGGCACGTAGGGTGGGGGTGCTGCGGGGGAGCACACGGGGGGGTCACCCCCTGCCAGCCCAGCGAGCCCCCCGCGGGACGGGGGGGGCCCCGCGGCCCCCCGCGCTGCTCACCTGAGGGGTTGTAGACGGGGGGCCTGAGGGGTACACGGGGTACTGGGCGGGCCTGGGAGGGGGTACATGGCCATGGGGGTGAAGCCGGGCTGAGGGGCGCGGGCCGACTTTGGGGTCCACGGGGAACGGGGCCGGGGGCCGCGGGGGTAGCTGGACAGGGGGATCTCTGGGCCTGCGGAGAGATTTGGGGGGTTCCGGCACCCTGGACAGGAGGTGCCCCTCGGGGGCGGGTGGGCACCGGGGCAGTACCAGCGGCACCCACTCACCCCCCCAGTGCCCAAATTCCACCCCCTGCATCTCTCCAGGCCCCACAACCTCGCCCCTACAAAACCCTTCACTCTGTACTGCAGGAACCTCCTGCATCCCCACCCTGTCCCTGCAGCGACCCCCCTCCCCTGCACCTCCCAATCCTTCTCTCCATCCCCCAGGTCCCCTCAACCCCTCTGCCCCCTGCACCTTCAAGACCGTCCCACAACCCCCACCACCCTCCTCTCCCTTCCTGCCCCTCCAGTCCTACACTCCCTCCACCCCCTTTTCCCCCTCTCCTGCCTCCTCCCACCCCAAATTCCCCTGAATCCCTCCAGTCCCCCAGTTCCCCTACACCCTGTACCTGCAGGACCCTCCTGCAACTCCCACTCCTGCACCCCCATTCCTCCCTCACCCCTCGTCCCAGCCCCCCAACCCGGCATCCCCCCAGGACCCCCGATCCCCCATGCCCCCTGCCCCCCGTGCCGCACCTGCCAGGGGTGGGCGGGGCCCTGCGCCGCTGGTACAGGTAACAGCAGGAGCACATGAAGCAGCACACGATGGTCGTGACGATGGCGATGAAAAGCACCACGGCCGAGGCGATGCCCGCGATGGTCTTGGGGCTGCGGGAGGGACCCCCCGGGCGTGGGCACGGCGGCCTGGGGGGCACCCCGGGCACCCCCCGCCCCAAACAGTGCCCACTGGTGCTGCCCGGGGACACTGCCAGTGACAGTGACAGTGACCAGTGACACTGCGCAGTGACAGTGACCAGTGACAGTGACAGTGACCAGTGACACTGCCCAGGGATGCTGCCAGGGCCCAGTACCAGTGTCCAGTGTCCAGTACCAACACCCAGTGCCCCACACCCAGTGCCCCTGCCCAGTATCAGTGCCCAACACCAGTGCCCAGCCCCCAGTGCACAGTACCCCGTGCTGGGCATCCAGTACCCAGTGCTGGTGCCCAGTGCCCAGCACTAACACCCAGCACCACTGGCCAGTGCCCAGAACCCAGTGCCAGACCCCAGCACCCTGGACCACTGCCCAGGACCGATGCCCAGCACCAGCACCCAGTCCCAGCACCAGCACTCAGTCCCAGCACCCAGTCCCAGTGCCCAGCCCCCAGCCCCAGCCCCAGCGCCCCGGGGGTGCCCCCCGCGGCCCGGCAGTGTCACCTGAAGGCGAGGCAGTGGCGCTGCTGGCGCTCGGTGAGCAGGCGCAGGGGGTCCCTGCAGCAGTAGCGCTGGTGGCAGGTCCCGCAGCAGAAGGTGAAGAACTCACAGTCGAAGCCCGGGTGCCACGAGCCGTTCCTGTCCACGTACCACAGGCAGTCCTCGCCCCCGGCCACTGCGGAGGGTCGCCTGTCACCGGGGCCACCCGGCCACCCCACCCCGGGGGCAGCGGCAGCGCCACTGTCCCCTCCCTGCCTCACCTGGCACAGCCCGGACCTCCGCCGTGTCCCCGCTGCTCCCCCTGCACGCCGGGCAGTCCTGCCCTGTGCCCACCCCCGGACCCCGGGGCATCCTGCCCCAGAGACCCCAAAGTGTGGCCCATGTACCCCAAACCCTGCTCCATCCTGCCCCAGAGACCCCAAAGTGTGGCCCATGTACCCCAAACCCTACTCCATCCTGCCCCAGAGACCCCAAACCCCTGCCCCTATGCAAACCCCTCCTCCATCCTGCCCCAGGGACCCCAAAGTGTGGCCCATGTACCCCCAAACCCCTGTCCCAGGGACCCCAAACCCCTTCTCCTGTGCAAACCCCTCCTCCATCCCACCGCAGGGCCCCCCCCAAACGTGACCACGTGCACCCCAATGCTCTGCTAAGTCCTGCCCACGGACCCCCAAACCACTGCCCCACGGACGCCCGTTCCCCGTTCCATCCTTATCTCCTGTATCCCCCATCCCCTGCTCCCTCCTGCCCCCCGTACCCCCAAACCTTGCCCCTGTGTCCCCCCATCCCCTGCTCTCTCCTGTCCCACGGACCCCAAACCGTGCCCCTCTGTACCCCCATCCCCATTCCTGCGCACCGCCCCCACGCTGTCCTGCAGCCCCCTCCATCCCACGCAGCTCCGGGACCCCCCGCCCCCTCGCGGCTGCTCCAGCGGCTCCTCCCGTCCTATTTCTGGCCGGAGCCACCACCTGTTCTCCCAGAAATAACCGCCCAGCGGGGCCCGGGGGCGGCGAGAGGCGCCGGGACACGGGAGACAGCCACGGCCGTGGGCTGCCTTCCTTCGTGGGCTGCCTCCCTCCGTGGGCTGCCTTCCTTCCGCGGGGGGTCTCACAGGGGGGCCGCGCACCCCAAAAAGTGCACCCCCCGCCTCGGCAGCTCAGGCCCGAATGGGGAAACTGAGGCACGGGGGGGGAGTGAGCGTGGGAAGCCCCAGAATCCCCCGGGATGGGCATCCCGGTTCCGTGCCCGCTGCTCCCGCGGACCCCAAAAACGGGAAATGGGGGCGGGGGGTTCGTGGGGGGCCCAGAGCGCCGGGGGACGCGTTGGGGAAAGGGTGAAAGGGGCCGCGTATGGCGAGTAATGATCGCGGCCGGTGGCCCCCAGCGGGACCTCCCGGCCACGGGGGTGGCCCCGGGTCCCCCCCCAAAGGGACCCCCCGGTCACGGGCGGTGTCACCGCGTCCCGTCGCAGGGTGGCACCGGGCTGCCCATCCCCGGGACCCCCGTGTCTCACCCATCGAGGTGGCCACGGCCACCAGCAGGGTCCCGGCCAGGGGCCACCCTCCCCCGGGGCCGCCGGGCCCCATGGCGGGGCCGGGCCCGCTGTCCGCGCTCAGCGCTGTCCGGGACGGGGGCGGAGGCTGCGCTGCGGCACCGGGGCCGCTCCTGGTGCCTCCCGGTTCCTCTCGGTTCCTGCCGGGGCCGCGGGGCCGCTCCCGGTGCCTCCCGGTGCCTGCCGGTGCCTCCCGGTTCCTCCCGCTGTCTCCCGGTGTCCCCTAGCGCAGCCTGGTGCCTCCCGGTGCCTGTCGGTGCCTGCCGGTGCCGCTGTCTCCCGGTGCCGCAGTGCCTCTCCGAGTGTCCGCCGGTGCTTCCCGATGTCTCCCGGTGCCTCCCGGTGTCTCCCGGTGTGCCCCGGTGTCCCCGGTGCGGGGCGGGCTCAGGCCCGCAGTGACGCCGCAGCCGGTGGCGCTCGGTCGGTCCCTGCTCGGTGTCCCCC